TTTTTGCTTTCGGTTTCGGTTCTTTGTCTTTGCTTTTTTTTTTTTTTTTTTTTATTCATAAGCTTCGGTTTGCTTTAATTTACTTTTCTTTGTAGTGCTGTATCTCCTTTGCTGCTATCTCTAATTATTGCCTCAAACTCCTGACTGGTGCTCTTGTTCTTTCTCTTTCCTGCCCCCAATTGGCGCTACAGCTGGCCACGTATCATACGTCACCCTTCAACTATGTGCTACTCTTGTACCTACCACGTTCAATCACCGAGAGCCCTGTAGCGCTCGCTGGCGAAATGCCAGGTAGTACCGGCAAACAATGCCTCAAAATAGCATTAGCAGTGAAAACGGGAGTGTTCCTCATCGGCGGCGGAGCCAAGCCTGGTTTTGGTATTTGCCTTTGCTGTCACTGGGACGACTAACTTTCGGCTTGGCGATGCATTTCTAGGTTTCACTATGATTGCGGTTTTTCGACACTGAGTTTTGCGCCTGTTCGTTGCAGCTCCCTGCCGAGGATCCGAGGGGTTTTTTTTTATCTTGTGGCCGGATACGCTCGTGTGCTTTGTGCATTTCGATTCGTGTTCTTGCCAGCTTATTTTGCGCCCAGGGCCAGTTTTGTCGGATGTTACACATCGTCAGCAATAATTATTGTTTACTTCTTGAGGCTGCAACTTCTTGGATCTTAGGGGATAAATTGGCAAATGTGTGAAGGGTGGAACGAAATGATTGGTGGGAAAATTGGGTTTCAATGATAAGTTAAAATATTCCCAGCACTTCTGACAAAAAAAAAAAAAGCCGTTGAGGTAACCTAGCAGTCCTTTGAGGCGAGGAAGCGAATGTCTGGATCGGTGGCCTCGAACAGAGCAACCGAGATTGCCAGCTGGAGAACTAAGAGCTTACCCGCCATTTTCTACTGGTTTCTTCACGTGAATTTCGGGTACTTCACGGTCTGTGCCATGTCGATATCGCTGCCTCAGTTCTTTGCAGACCGACGACCTCACGTGATTCCTGGTTGTGCTCACCGTGCCGGCCGAGGACATTTTGTCGCATATTCTTTACATCACTAATTGCATGTAAAAATGCATATTGTCAAAGGACTGTCTGTGTATGTGTGTGCTGTGTGTTTGTGTGTGTGTATGTTTGCGTAATTGCTTGCTTGTTTGCGCATGCGCATGTTCGCGTATCGTGATTATGAAGCTCGAATTTTGGCAAGTTAGTGCTAATGTGTTCCCGGATGCAGATTAAATGATCACGCTTCTCAAGTACCGACGAGTGGGAGTTTTCTTTAGCAGGAAGCAATTTTGGGAATCAGTCAGACTAGAACTCCTGAACTAGGCCTGCCTGCTGGCACAGGCGCAACTGAGAATCTAAATTGGGGCACCGCTGGCATTCTTTTAATTCGGGAACCAGGCCGTATAGAAAGCTATGATTTCGCGCGAAAATGTTTGACATCCATGTGCGAGCCCATAGGCTTAAAATGAGTCTTTGTGTGTGTCTGTTTTTGTGTGTTCTCGTTTCGAGAGACATCAAAGATCAGTTGCAAAACTGTGCGCATTCTTCTCTTTAGAAAATCGGACAGGTTCAGTGTACAGCCCCACTTTCCCTTACACCGCACCTACGGGCATGGCAAACTTCAGGTAGCAAAATTGTTGAAATTGTTCTAACTGGAGAAGCAGACTGATTGATTAGCTGTGCATTTCGGTGAATGTTTACTGCCGTTGTGTGGGTCAGCGGTTCATAATCGCAAAATGAGCTCCTGGGACCTGTGGCAAATTTATGACATCTTTCTGTCTCGGTGTTTAGACATGTTCGTCTAAAGCCGAATTTTACAGCACAGTCCCACTGGCTTCGTTGGTTTCTTTTCTTCCGGAACTTGGAATAAAGAACCAAAAGAAAAGCATTTACAGCGTGAGTGCGCATGCCTATCTATGAAGCAGTGAGCGCTGTTAGTGAATGTATTGCTACACGAAACCGCACAAAAAAGCATGACATCGGCCTTGCTGTGGGCAGTTGCAAATTAGTTCTCAGAATTGTGTTGCACAGATTTCAAGACTTATGCAAAGCTGCCATTTGTGATCAAAAATTTCAGTTTTTTTGGAAAACTGTGCCTTGGATCTGACCGTATTGTTACGTATATGCAAAACCGCTTATTGCTGGATGCGTACCTATATTTTTGCAGAAAGCAGATACTGTGGGAAGCGCACATATTGCATTGTTGGTATATGCCAGTGAGAGTCCTCTACAATGAATGTTGTGAATCGTTTTAGTCAGCGTAATTTTTTTTTTTTTGTTTTTGGACCTTTGCGCATCGAGTTTGCTGTTGTTATAATTTAACTAATTCGTTTTTTTTTTTTTCACAGATAAGATGAATAGCATTGCTCATACTGAGTGCATGCAGACTGTCGCCCTGCACATAGCACTTAGTCTGATTCCTAATCTGCAATTTTAGTTACAGTGACGCCGAGCACGAGCAAAATGATTGAGAGGATTGTTGCCAACCAAAATGTTTTTTATCGGCATGAGCAGCGTGGCACACCAGATCTAACACTGGAGCAGAAAAGGTTCTGGACATTAATAATTTTGAGGGCAATTATATGACTGTAGCTACGTCGCATTCAGTTTGGAGGATGTGTAATGAAACACCGCAGTACATGTTCGGTGCGGAGCATGCGCAAATGTAGGAAGAGATGAGAATACAAGTTTTTGACCAAATATCCTGGTATGCGGCTTGAGGATTTTGCAGGGAAATCTTGGAGACGTTGTTTAAAAAAGACCCACGTCTCTTTATGCGTCGATATCACACCTATCTATCGATCGAGGACTGCGACTGTTTTGATCAGGATGAGTATGAGATTCAGTTTTTCCGCAAGGCTATAACTGAACGAATAAAGAATGCAGATACGAGGAAGAACAAGGTGATTCTTTTCGACTCCGATTATTACGAAATGGTTATCCTTCGTCAGAAAAAATCAGATCACGGTCAGCTGCAACA